GGAAGAAAAAACAAAGTATCGAAATCATTTACATAAGGAATAAAATTAAAGTCTCAATTTTAGAAACTTACATTTAATCAGGCCGATTGAAGCGAGTGGAACACATCATCGACATCAAAGTCCAGAATGGCAAAGTCTGGAAAAAAAAATCATAAGTATCAAAATCTATTGATTGCATGAAAAATAAAATCAAAGTGTGATTTTCACAAACTTACAATTATCAAGTCGATTGAAGCGAATGCAATCTGCAAAGTCTTGGAAATATTCATCATTTAAAGTCGTATCATCGGCAGCAAAGTCTCAAAGACCATCCAAAGTGTCAAAGTGTGGAAGAAAAAACAAAGTATCAAAATCAATTGCATGGAAAATTAAATTAAAGTCTCAATTTTAGAAACTTCAATTTTATTCTCCATGAAATTGATTTCGATACTTTGTTTTTTCTTACAGACTTTGATACTTTGGATGGTCTCTAAGACTTTGCTGCCGATGATAAGACTTTGCTCCAGAAATGATGAAGATTTTCAAGACTTTGCAGATTGATTGCATTCGCTCCAATCGACCTGATAATTGTAAGTTTCTGAAAATCAGACTTTGATTTTATTTTTCATACAATCAATAGATTTTGAAACTTATGATTTTTTTTTTCCAGACTTTCATGCCATTCTGGACTTTGATGTCGATGATGTCTTCCACTCGCTTCAATCGGCCTGATTAAATGTAAGTTTATAAAATTCAGACTTTAATTTTTTTTCCTCCTTATGTAAATGATTTTGATACTTTGTTTTTTCTTCCAGACTTTGACACTTTGGCTGCCGATAATGTTCTTCTTCCACAAATGCAATCCAGACTTATCAAATCTTGCTTTGCTGACTATTTGCTGCGTTCGAAATTGTAAGTCTCAAATTTAGGAACTTACAATTTCGAACGCAGCAAATAGTCAGCGAAGCTTGATTTGATAAGTCTGGATTGCATTTGTGGAAGAAGAACATTATCGGCAGCAAAATTTCAAAGTCTGGAAGAAAAAACAAAGTATCAAAATCAATTGCATGGAAAATTAAATTAAAGTCTTACATTTAGGAACTTTAATTTTATTCTCCATGAAATCGATTTCGATACTTATCTTTGTTTTTTCTTCCACACTTTGAAATTTTGCTGACGATAATGTTCTTCTTCCACAAATGCAATCCAGACTTATCAAATCTTGCTTTGCTGCCTATTTGCTGCGTTCGAAATTGTAAGTCTCAAATTTAGGAACTTACAATATCGAACACAGCAAATAGTCAGCAAAGCTCGATTTGCCAAGTCTTGAAAATCTTGCATTTGTGAAAGAACATCATCGGCAGCAAAGTCTGGAAGGCGATGCAAGTATCCAAGTCTTCAATCCATCAATCTGTAAAGAAAAACAAAAACATAAGTATCAAAATCATTTGCATGAGAAATAAAATTAAAGTCTCAATTTTAAACACTTACATTTAATCGGGTCGGTTGGAAAAAACGCAGCAATCAGTCAGCAAAGCTTGAATTGGCAAATCTGGATCATTTTGTGGAAGACATCATCGGCATCAAAGTCTGCAGGAACATCTGTGAACAAAGACAAAAACAAACAAACAAACAAACAAACAAACATGAAAGTCTTTTTTTTTTTTTTTTAACATTTTTATTTCATCAATTAGTCTACAAAGTCTTGAAAAGTCTTCATCATTTGTGGAAGGCCATCATCGGCATCAAAGTCTGGAAGAACATCGAAAGTGAAAAAACTAGTCAGCGAAGCTTGATTTGCCAAGTCTTGAAATTTTTGAACATCATCGGCATCAAAGTCTGGAAGACCATCCAAAGTGTCCAAGTCTGGAAGAAAAAACAAACATAAGTATCAGAAACAATAAAATTAAAGTCTTATTTCTAAAAACTTGAAATACCAAGTGTATTTCATCACAAAGTCTTTGTTAATTCATTAACATCGACTTTGCATCGAAATACAAAGTGTATTTCAACACAAAGTCTTTGTTAATTCATTAACATCGACTTTGCATTGAAATACAAAGTGTATTTCAACACAAAGTCTTTGTTAATTCATTAACATCGACTTTGCATCGAAATACAAAGTGTATTTCAACACAAAGTCCTTGTTCATTAATCAACATGATTAATTAACAAACACTTTGCATTGAAATACCAAGTGTATTTCATCGCAAAGTCTTTGTTGATTAATCAAGTTAATTAATCAACATGGACTTTTTAATACTTTAAAATATTAATAAAACACTTACTTTGCGGAGATGCTCGCAGCCACTTTCCCCTCTTTGTTCGCACAATTCTTCAATGCCATCAAAGTATGACCAATGCATGCAGCTACTGAAAATAAAAACAATTTATTAGTTAAATACAATCAAATATTTTTCTACTAGTAACTACAATCAAATAACAAATTTGTAAAGTTCATTCGAAAGCTATTCATTTTATTGAAATCATTCATTAAGTTCAATTATTTATTCAGAACAAAGTTTATTCACTTTAAAACTAAACTTTATTTTAAACAATATATTACCTAAATATTTTTAAAGTCAAAACAAATTGTTTCATTAATTCGAAAAGTCTTGAACAAACAAAGTTTATTCACTTTAAAACTAAAGTTTATTTTATACAAGTCAAATATTTTATACAATCAGTTTATTTTATACAATAAGTTTATTCTATACAATATTATCAAGTTAATTCGAAAAGTCTTAATGAATGATTACAATCAAATTAAGTTATTTCAATTATTTATTTCAAACAAAGTTTATTTACTTTAGAACAAAACTTTATTTTATACAAGTCTATTCATTAATAAGTACTAATAAAATATAAATACTTACATTTAATAATCGCTGCAAACAATCCACAATTTCTTCAAACACCATCCAAGTGACAGTGGCTCGGGGTGGATCGTCATCATTCTTAAGCACCATCATCAGTAATAGCATTCTTGGGCAATGGCAAGTTGGGATAGTACTCATCAAAGACACTGAAAATAAAAAATACATTTATTACTTAAACAGTCTTCATTTATTTCATTATTTTTTTTTTTAAGTTAAATACATTTTAGTAAACAAATTAACAAGTCTTGATCTATAATTTTTTTTTAGTTTATTAAAAACTAAAGATATTTAATTGACACCAGCTATTACAATTCATTAGTTAAGTATTCTTTAAGTAAAAAAAAAATTCCTAAGTTGATTCGAAAAGTCTTCATTAATGAATGATTACAATCAAACTACAATCAAATAACAAATTTATAAAGTTAATTCGAAAGCTATTAATTAAATTGGAATCATTAATCATTAAGTTCAATTATTTATTTGAAACAAAGTTTATTCACTTTAAAACTAAAGTCTATTTTATACAAGTCAAATATTTTATACAATCAGTTTATTTTATACAACATTGTCAAGTTAATTCGAAAAGTCTTAATTAATTATTACAATCAAATTAAGTTATTTGAATTATTTATTAATTATTAAATTAAATTAATTATTTATTTCAAACAAAGTTTATTCACTTTAACACAAAAGTTTATTTTATACAAGTCTATTTATTAATAAGTACTAATAAAAATATAAATACTTACATTTCTTCAAACGCCATCCAAGTGACAGTGGCTCGGGGTGGACCGTCATCATTCTTAAGCACCATCATCAGTAATAGCATTCTTGGGCAGTGGCAAGTGGGTAGTACTCATCAGAAACACTGAAAATGAAAAAAATACATTTATTAGTTAAACAGCCTCAATCGATTTCATTGAATTTTTAAGTTAACTACAATTTTGAATTTTCATATAAGAAATTATCAAGTCGTATAATTATATTTTTTTATTCCAATAAAAAAAAGGATGTTTAATTTACATCGACTATTACAACTATAACATTCAAAACAAAGTCTATTAAATTAAAACAAGTCATTATGATCAAAACATTTTATTCAAACAATCTTTTCTTTCAAAATTAAATACATTAATAAAGTCTTAAGTGTAAATAAAATCGTTAAGTCATTAACTATAAATTTATAATGCAGTATATTTATATTTTTTTTTTATTTCAATTAATAACAAAAGATATTTAATTAAAAATAATCTATTATAAACTACAACTATTAAATTCTAAACAAAGTCTATTAAATTCAAACAAGTCATTTTAAATCATTTTAAGGGGGTATTCTAGTGTATTTTTGGAGATATAGGCATTTTACTGACTCGGTCTCTATACTGGTTTGACTTCACACAAAACTTTAATATTTTTTCAGATAGTCTTCTAAGACTAACTATCTATAAGTTTCTCAGAACTTACTTTTTTAATACTCTTGTCACGATTTCTGAAGTTCTACTCGACCAATTTATTTGAAATTTTCAGATAGTCTTCTTTATAGATCTATCTATAGTCTGAGCTAGAATCATCCCGAAATTCCTATTTTTACTATTTTTAAAACATTCGAGAAACTCAAAAAAACAACTTTTTTTTCAAACAGTCGCCAATTTGTGAAAACATATTTTTTTTTTACTTATTGTTAGTTCAACCAATTGCGACATCATTGTAAATTAATAATCTTTTCATTCTTTACATTTTCGATGGCTAGGAAGGCTGAAATCATGTCAAGACTGACATGCCAATTTTTTGAGACCATACACTTCATCAGTTGCCAGTTTTTACAATTTTAATAAACAAGACGTAAATTCAATTAAACAATTTCTTTATTTCAAATTCAAAGTGTATTAAATTTTAAACATAATATATATTCATTGTCGATACTTTTTCATTTTTTTATTTTTGTTTTCTAGCTTAATAATATTAATAAACAAATGATAAAAAAAAAATGGATAGTGAAAACATTGCTTTCTTTTACGACAATTTAAAAATGACCTAAAATTCATCACTCTACACTAAAGTACCCCCTTAAAACAAAGGTTTTTTTACTAAAAAATTTATTTATTGACAAACCAAAGTTTAAAGTATAAATAAAACACTTACTTTTTATCGTTGCTCGCAATACATGATTGCCATTCTTAGGGAGCATCAGTTGTGGCATTCATGGACAGTAGGTAGTAATCATTGCAAGCACTGAAAATAAAAAACGTTTATTAGTTAAACAGTCTCACTTTATTTCATGTATTTTCTAAGAAAATTCATTTAAAATTTTTCAAATAACAAATTATTAACTCTGTTAGAAATCAACAAATATAATTCAAATCTTTTATTCCATTAACAACAAACAATATTTAATTAAACTACAAATATTACATTCAAAACTAAATTTATTTAATTAATACAAGTCATTTAATTTTCAATCAAAACATTTTATTAGCAAAATCTTTTGTCAGAAATGAATTCAACAAAAGCAAAGTATTTTAAACTAAAGACAAATTTCAGTAAATTAAAAATAAAGTATATTCAATTATACTTAATAATAAACAAAGCTCTTTTAATTAAGTAACTAATTTTATTGAATAATAAACCAAGTTTAAAGTGTCAATGAAATGCTTTTATTATAAATTAATAACAACATTAGTACAATTTCATACAAAAAATTTCATTGTACGCTATCACTATTGCAAATGGCAATTTTTAAATATTTACATAATAAATTAAATATATTTCAATTGTTTTTTAATCGGATATTATCTGGAGTTGTACATTGTGTTTAATAATAAATTAAAAATAAGTAATTTTGTTGAATAATAAACCAAGTTTAAAGTGATAATGAAATGAATTCATTATTTTGTTGCTTTTATTATAAATCAAACGACATTAGTACAATTTCATAAAATATTTCATTGTACACTATCACTATTGCAAATGGCAATTTCAAATGTTTTTTTAATCGGATATTATCTGTAAATTTTAAGCAAAATTTATTACATTCAGTGAACAAAATGCATTCAATTAAAAATTATTTATATTTCATAATGAACCATATTCATATTTGACAAAAAAAACTTGATTTCGAATTCAAAGTGTAAAGTAGAGAAAAAAACACTTACATTTTCAGTTGTTCTTGCACCATTCGCTCAACGGCAACGTCAATTATTGGGCTCCAAAAAGCATCTTCATCCCTTATATTCTTTTGTTGGTCTTGCTCAACAATGATTCTTTGCCCGTTTGCAAAATCCTCAGGCACACGACGGCATTTTTGTCTTTTGATTGCCATTATTAGCATCAATCCCTCACAATGACTCGATGGAGAAGGCACATCGACTCTGCTTTTTGGGCTATCAGAATGCATCTCATCTGCAAGAAAAAAAAAGAACATGTTAATTTGGAAATTTATTCAAATTAAACACTACAGTCTAATAATTTGATATCAAGTATTTATCATCATTTGTATTAAAAATTAAACATTACACTAGACTGAAAGAGATTTTCTCACAATGTGGCAGGAGGTTAAATTACCACATTTAACACAAAACTTGGAAATTTTACTAATTCACTAATTCCTTTCAACAGTTGATAATATTAATATGTGAAAAAAAACAACAAAGTTTGTTTTATGTATTTATTATATATTTGTCTCATTTATAAACAGCAAAATAAAAATACACCATTTCATTGAGCATTGAAGAAGTCACATTACAAAGCTACATGTACGACGCTAACGCCATCCGCATTTCAATGGATATTTTTCTTTTTAGCTAATATTTCAACCACATTTTTCAAATAATTTATTATGATATTTCAACTTTGAACAATTAAAGGACAATCATTTTATCTAATTAAACAATTAGGCTTTTCTCCTTCCAAAATTATAAACTCACAAAACTTTATAACAAAAAATTACTTATTTATAAGTGTCGAAAATTATATTTTATAACAATTACCTTTTACAGGCGCTAGGGAAGCTTCAAGGCCTGCACCGAGTCCAGAAGGCATTGCCCAAGTTGAGATGTTCCATTAACAGGGAATCATGAATCCGACTGTAGCTCACATTGCAATTGCATCGACATCATCCTCGTCTGAAATATTAAATAAATTGAATTAAATTACATGTCAATTTTTTTAAATATTACTTTTTTATTTAAAATAACTAAATCATTCAATATTTCATATTGATCAAACATTAGAAACTTGAATATAATGAATTATTTGACTGTAAGAAACAATGATCTCTTTCAATTAATTTCTTATGTTTGTTTCAATTAATTTGTTAATCGAATCTTTGTTATTTAAAGAGTAGAGTACATAAATCATTTTAAATATTCGAACTAAACCTACCTAATTCAATAAAAGCTGCAGCCTCTTTGGCTCAATTCTTTGGCATTGCTCTAGGATTTGTAGAGCATCATCCTTGTCATTTTCTTCAACAATGCACATATCCCCAATATGCATGTCGGCAAGTCCATATTGTTTGATTCACTGTAGAATTTCTAGAGTATCATCCTTGTAATTTCCTTCAAGACTGCACATGTTCCACAATATGTATGTCGGCAAGTCCATATTGCCATATTGTTGAGCCCGGTAGCGCCGGCACTTGTGATTTTCCAAGTTAATTGGATTTTTGTTATAAATCCATTTGATACAATCAGCATCTCAATGTAAACGACGAATTCTTCAAATCGTGATCTTGCTACTAGTATGTCCAATAAATCTTCCTAGTCATTGGCAGAAAAATCAACTGTAAGACATGTGCGTAAAAGTCATCTATATAAAATATCAGCCCATTGCAATTTCCTTCTGGAATCTAAAAAATAAAAACTGTTAAATTAATATGCACCTAAAATTCAACAACATTCACTTTTCAACTTATTCAGTTTTTACGAGATAATGTTTGCCAATCACATTAGCAAACTTTTAAGTTAGTGATTTGAAATAATCAATGTGCATTCACATGTGGGCATTATTTAATTTAATTGTTAAATATGTAAAACGTAGAACAAATTATATAAAAATTGCTAGCAATTATTAAAAATTGCAAAATCATATAATATTGATGGTCTATTTTTTCTATCGATTATTTTGGCTTTTTTTTTAATTGAAACTTTGTCATTTAAAATTCAAATATGATTCAACAGTAGACTGAGTTTGCATTCGCACTTAATAATTCTACTCAACTTGTATGATTTCATCAAATTTGTATGTATAAGCAACGTGCACATCATTCAGTGTAGACTTGCAATTGTTTGTTTTTCATTCACATTAATTAGATTAAATATCAATTTAGTCTATATAAATATGGCTCTTCATTAAAGTATTTTAAACATTTTAATACAAACACAACTATGTGTTGTGATAGTAGAAAATGTTGTACATTATTTAATTTTGTACAGATTTCCCAAAATATATCTTATTGAAATAATTGACATCATTTATATTAATGCAATAAGCTCATATGTAAAAATTATGTTTTAGTTCATTTAATATTGATTCTGAAGTAAATCGAGTTGCTGTTTACGACTGTTTAAAAATAATTGTGTGATATATATATTCATATATTCGTATATTCACTTTTATTTAAAAAATTATGTGACAAATTTACCAAGTATGTAATGAATTTTAATAGATAAAGAAACATTATTATCATTATTGAATGTTAAATTATATTAAAAACTTTACAAATCAATCTTGATTCGTCATTTCAAATATGCAAGACAAACGAATATGAAATTATGAAATCGCAAATTGTATTCATTTGATTCTTCAATATTTAAAATAATATAAACTTTACTCTATTGTGCACATAAAGAATTCATTATGTATTTGTAATTTCATTAAACAGTTACACCTTGCACAGGTTTTATCTTACGACAAGCACAAAAGCTCATCCATATGTATTATTGATTTATGAATTTTTAACAAAATAAATCATCATACTGATAAAAATAATTCAATTCCTTTAAGTTGCGTCATAACTTTTTATAATTTTCGCATTTGATCAAAATTATTAGACTGTACACAGTCTCTATATTGGGAACAAACAGATTTGCTCTGGAAATAAATAAATTGATTTTTCTAAGGATTCAAATTTGTCATGGGATTCCAAATGTTCTAACTTTCCTCGAGGTCTGAAACTACACTTTGTGTTTGCATTGAATTGCTTTTCTAACATGATGTACTATAAAATCTAATCACATCATTCGGAATACTGCCAAAAGTTTCTTCTTTGTCCATATTCTCAAATACTTTTAAATTTCACAATGAAAAATTTAGTTATACATATGAATAAAATCAAAGCTAATGAAAAAAAAATTATACGAAACAATTCTTATATACATACTTGTATAGATAATTTCATCCTCCTTTTGAATATTTTGAGTCATTTACTAATATTAGCATAAAATTAATGAAATATGGTATTCAGTTGTAGATCTTGACATTTGAAGCACCTCTTTATTGATAAGAACATTAGAAATTTTGATTCAAACGAAGACCCTTGTAATATTTATAGTATATTTGCCTTATATATTGTGTTGTTGCATTGTCGAATTATCCACAGCAGATATATAATGGGCAGATGACTCGTGTACCTAGTACCTCTTCATTGATAAGAACTTTAGATATTTTGATTTAAACGAAGATTCTTGTAATATTTGTAGTATATTTGCCTTATATATTGTATTGTTACATTGTTGAATCCTCCAGAGCAGATATATAATGAACAGATGACTTGTTTTGCTTGTATATATTACAGCTTGTAGATATAAAAGTACCAAGTAAGTTATCTTCAATATATGTTTGTGACCACCACACTTCTGAGTAAAATGTTGATAGCCAAATATATTTCAATGAAGATATCTTTCAAATACAATGTCTACATATTGTTTGTAGAATGCCATATCAAAGTCATCAACTGCGTCGAATGATCTTCATTAAATTTCAAGCCTCTTGAGAATAATTCATGCATTTGTTCTACAAATTATGCAAAGTTTGTGTGCTCTCTTGTTGACAACGAAGATTATTTGGATCCATCAACTGATAATTGGATGTGATAATACAATATTTGCACCATACTGTAGTAGGTAATACTTTTGTATCTTGCTGACAACGAAGATAATTTGGATCCATCAACTGATAATTGGATGTGATAATACAATACTTGCACCATACTACAGTAGCAAATACTTTTGTAACTTGCTGACAACGAAGATGATTTGGATCCATCAACTGATAATTGGATGTGATAATACAATATTTGCACCATACTGTAGTAGGTAATACTTTTGTATCTTGCTGACAATGAAGATCATTTCAATCCATCACTTGCTAATTGGATGTTTTCATGACTACTGTTGGAACTTCTTGACGATGAAGATAATTTGAAGCCATCAATTGCCAATTAGATGTGATAATACAATACTTGCATCATACTACAGTAGCGAATACTTTTGTAACATCTTGATATCAAAGATCATTTCAGTCCATCACTTGCTAATTGGATGTTTTAGTGACTACTTTTGAAACTTCTTGACGATGAAGATAATTTGAAGCCATCAATTGCCAATTAGGTGTGAGAATACAATACTTGCATCATATTACAGTAGCAAATACTTTTGTAACTTGCTGACAACGAAGATGATTTGGATCTATCAATTGAATGTGATAATACAATATAGGCACCATACTACAGTAGCAAATACTTTTGTAACATCTTGACAACAAAGATCATTTCAGTCCATTAATTGCTAATTGGATGTTTTAGTGACTACTTTTGAAACTTGTTGACAATGAAGATAATTTGGAGCCATCAAACTGCCAATTCGATGTGATAACACAATATATGCAGCATACTATAAGTACAATATTTTCTCTTTACTAATGTTTCTTCTCACACAAACTTGATCTTTAATCATGTTTTGTGCTTTATCACTATTTCTGTTTCTTGAACAGAATGCCTTCATACAAGAAGATACAACAGAATACAATATTTCGTTCCTTTGCTTTTTTCAAATTATTGTGTTTCCGCAAATACAAAAATATAAATCGTTCCGTACTAATATTTTTTCCATATTGCTTTATGTCAGTTTAAATGAACAAGTGAAATAATGACACATTAAGGTGCTTCCTTCGGCACCTAACGAAGAAACATAGTGTGGACGTGCACAACGAACACGCCGAGCAAATACAACCAACAAACATATGTTCGTGTGAGCAATGTTCCGCAACTTGTCGGTAAATAAAACAAAAATTGTTCGTTCATGTAGGCAAACATTTTTCTTTTTCGATGTTAATATGTGCAGTTTTGCATTAATTTATGTTGTGATTATTTTGTGATATTGCTTTCTCGCCACTTTAAATAATAAAACTGACGTTTCTCGGAACATGCTCGAACAAAAAAGATTCAAGTCCTCGCTGCTTTGAGGCGTTTGTTCAAGTTTGTTTATTTGGAATGATTTGCTTTCGTTCGTGTTCGTGTTCGTCCTTTGCATTTTATTGTCCGGTATGGTTCGTCAGGTTGTTTGTTCGAGTTTGTTCGTTAGGTGTCGACCACCTACTTTAATGTATCGTTATTTTTCTGATATGCGTTTTGAGGTGCCGAACAAAACTAAACTGCTGGCAATATATGGTTTTAGACTTTGCATACCCGAGATTAGATCTATTCATAGATGAGCAAGTATAAAAGTGAATCTATTCATTTAGAATAGATACTGTAAAATTGATCACGATAAATGTTTCAAACCACGAAAAAAAAAAGAGAAAGAAATTAATATTGCAACCAAAATCTGGTCACGGTTTCAGAATCCGAAGAGTAAAATCAATATTCACGTTTTCTTATGAAACGTATCTAGTAATATAGTCAAAAATCAACTTATTTATTATAAACTACGACCTAGCGGTCGTTCCTTCCTCATTGAGGAAACAATCATATTCCAAAAGACAATGTATATAATCAATGTTCAAAAATTGCAAAAAGTTATGATGCAGGTTATTACTATATATTCTGAAGCCATTTTTAAAATTTTAAATTCAGTGAAAATTTTCAAATTATAGAAAATAACAAAAACTTTGAAATAATTTCTATTCAAAATCATAAATAATAAGATGAGCATTTGTACTTAATTTTTGTAAATACTATTTCAAAGGCAACATTACTTCAATTCCAGATTTGTTTCACTGATATTGAACATGAAACTTTGATACTACTGAGTAGTAAACATTTTTATTATGACTAACAATTACATAATGAAAGTGCAGCAATTTATTAAAAAAAAGTTAAATATTTAATTTTGTTAACGTTATGCAAAATAAATATCCAATTTCGTCGCAATCATCAATTACGACAAATTGATAAAATATGAAAAAAGCTATAAATTAGAATTTCATACTCGTTCGACTGCATCATATGAAAGCTTCAAATATATTTTATAAACAATTAAA